GTTCAGACACAGATGCTCCGCAAGTAACAATGTATCTAGAAGTAGTTCGGTACTGTGAAAAAGGTGCACTATTCGTAACAGTATTTTGTTGAAATGCTGTATTAACAGACAACTTTTATTCATCCGTTCTGGCCCATGAGCCATTACGCATTCTCAACAGTATTTCAGTGGTTACTGGTGGCTTAAAGTTTATGCTATTTTCCATAGAGTTTTAGAAATTTAGTAGAAACGTTATGAGACAAAAACGTTATAAGGATTTTGATATTTTTTTCTTCTTTGAATCTTTTTGCTTTTTTAGTTTGTTCTTCGCCACCTTATTTGATTCTATTCCGCTATTAGTTATCAATGTGTTTGCTTTTGGTTTTTCTCTGGTGTGACTATAATTGCTCCCGGATTGGTGTTTATGTGACTGCTAATGTATTTTTCATATTTAAGCCAGTTAGTTCTGGATGTATTATTTCGAAAAGCAAGCTCACTTTCAATTGCTTGTTCGTTCAATTCAATGATTATTAAAGAAGGAGAAGAAGATATATCAGCAAAGGTTTGAGCGAATGATAAACTCCTATCTACGGTTTTAGAGATTTCAGTCAATTAGGTCAAGAATTTTCCTTGAAGCCTTGGCATTAAGTAGAATGGTGAAGATAGGCACATGCTACGCATGTGGCAGCCTAAGCCGTAAATTGGATGCGTTTCGGTCTTCTTAAGTTGAGCTGATAATTTAAGCATAGACTGCGGTACTTTCTGTTTATCATATTAACGACCACCCCAATTTCAAATCCTTGATCCTCGAGAGCGACTTTTATATCACCTGAGTCAACAGTGGCTTCAACTAATTGCATAAGTCAGGCCTTTTGCACTTTTCAACTGGTAAGAAACTCTTGTTGTTTGCAGAAAGAAACACAACGGCTTCACGAAAAACTTTTTCACTTTGTACTGCGTTTCTGTAAGAAGATTGGTGGAGGTTTAGTTTTGGCGACTGTGGAAATACCCTTTGGATCTGTTATAGGCTCTTTCTCATTTAACGAGGTAAATCTGTTCTCTTTGGGTGCATTGCAAAGAGATATAGCAATATTTGTTGCTGCTGAAGAGCAGGTCTGCGTTACCATCTTTAGATATGCTGTTGGATGGTAATTTTTTCGCAACAAAAGTTAAATATACATTTCTCTCTGCTGTCGCGACTGAATTCCGTCGTTTATTATGATTTAAGCGTTGGTCACTCATTAAATGCCGGTTCAGTTGTCACTTTAATTTTTGATTTTAGAAAGTTCATTGTTTATGTTTACAAATGATTTATAATTACATTATTGCTTTTTTATGTTGCTTAGTGCCAACTTAAGGGGTTACATAGGTCTTGCAGGTCAATATAAGCTTATTTTGTCTAACTTTTTTAAAGGAAACTAAATAAGGTATACAATTTATTTTATTTAAATAAAAGCACAATATGCGGAGAACATTTGATGAAAATTCGAATGAACAATAGTATATAAGTCAAGATGTTGACAGCGTCGTCGTGAAGTAGACCGTCCACAGGAAAGTGTTTTTGCGGTATTTATGATAACTTTTTCAATTTTTATCTTAAATCAAAAATCCAAATTTTTTCTTGAAGTAGGTGAATTTTCCTTGCTCCTGAACGAAGAACAATTAAAAATTGAAATTTTTGTGGCGTTTTTTACAAAAATCGTAATTTTTTGCATATAATCCTTCGTTCAGGAACTACAAGAACATGTTTAAAAGAAGTGTGGAAAATATGAGCTCTATTGCTTCAACAGTCGTTTACTTACTCATTCATAAAATTCTCCCTATTTCTCTTTTCATAAGCCAATAAAAAACGACCGCTAAATACACAGATGACTTTCCCCCATATATATACAGACACCCGTCAGAAACGACCCGGGCCACAAACGGAAAAGTCTTAATATAATTACACTCCCGCAAATCAGAGCACATTCATTATTACAGTCCCCGCTACTCATTAGCCGTGCAGATATATACACATACGCATAACATTTTTTCTTTAGCAAGCATTATATGAGAATGTCCCTATGACTCAAAAAAATTTGTTCGATTTAAGGAATCGGGATAAATTTTGTGAAAAAAGAAAAAGATGGGCAGAATCTCGAAAGCTCCATAGCCCTGGTAGATTTAGCAAATGAAAAACATCAGGTATGTTACATTGTTAATGAAAAAACCGGAAACGAGTATGCAGAAAACTATTACAGCTCTAGGGCCAACACAATGCTAATGAGGGTACGGATAAATGAACACAACCAATAACTTACCTCAACATTCGGTCCAGCAGAATTGCAAACCCAAGCACATACTATAACGCAGATCCAAGCCCAACCCGCGAAGCAGAAGCCCGAACCTCTGTAATATATTCCACGGGGAACATTAGGAATGACCGTTGTTCAAGGACTATTTCACAATATTCAAAATTCAAAATTTTTGCTAAGGCAAATACGCTGCAGTTAAAAATAAGACCTCGACAAGAAGCAGCAAAAATCATTAAGGAATTTAAAATAAACGATCTCAGTTTTAATCCGGCTTGGTAAGCTTTAACTTCGAGGTATGAAAGCTCTTGGTTACTGGCCAATACTCCAAAAGATTTAGGACCTAAACAAGCAGATCCGGAGCCCACGAAAGCGAAATGCAACTCAACACTTTCCGCTATTATCGAAATGCTTCTATCTAAAAGGATCCAGAATTTTAAGAGCTATCCGCCTCAGATCGAATTCAGTTCACAAAATTAAATACTTTTTGCAAGAATTGTTTGGCGTACTCCCACTCAAAGAGATATTGCAAAAGCAACTTAACATGTTTATATGCAAAAAGCGGCACTATTCACTTCCCTACTTGAGGAAATTCCAAAGGCCGAGTGACCCAACCCCCCAAAGAAATAATGCCACAGCCCAAGTGGCAGCTCAACTCAACCCACTCGTATTCTGTAACATATCAAGTTGCAAAGAAACTTTACTGCTACCCACAGCAAATTTTCTAATACTCCACAAAGGAAAAATTATGAAAATATGAACAGAAATAGATCGTGTATCGTCTCTACTGCAAAAGGACCATAAAACTAACGCAAAATCTTTCCCTCGAAAACTACCAACGCCGACTCACCAGATGTCATCGTCCACGTCTCTGCGCCGTATAGCAGAACGGGAACGATCAGATACTTGTAGAGTTTGGTTTTCGTTCACCGAGTGAGGACTTTACCTTTCAATTGCCTACTTAGTCCAAAGTGGCACCTGTTGGTGATTCAGCGTTGGATTTTTAAGCTGACAATATTTTTGGTGTTAGTGCTAGTTCCAAGATAGACGAAGTTACTACGACTTCAATATTGTTGGAATTACAAGGAATTGCCAACAAGTTCTACTTTGGACCGAGTAGGCAATGGAAAAGTAAAGTCCTCTCTAGGCGAACGAAAACTAAAATCTACGAGTTGCTTAGGGCTCCCGTCCTGCTGTATGGCGCAGAAGCGTGGCCGATTACAACGTGCTAAGAATAGGCTTTGAGATTCTTTGAGAAAATAGTTGTGCCAACAATTTATGATACTTTATGCATTGGCAACGGTGAATACCGCAGACGATGGAACGATAAGCTGTACTTGCTATTTCATGATATTGACATAGTTCGGCGAATGAAGAGACAACGGCTACGCTAGGTCATGTCGTCCGAATGGATGAAAGCACTCCAGCTTTGAAAGTATTCGATACAGTACCCGCCAGTGGAAGAGGAAGACCTCCACTGCGTTGGAAGGATCAGGTGGAGAGTGACCTGGTATCACTTGGTACTTCCTATTGCCTTGCACCAACCGAAATCGAAATGGTGATTTTCTTCTTAATACTTCTCCCTGGTTTCAAGAGTTGCCACAGCTTTATAGCAAAAACTCCGTCTTAGGGTGAATATTGAGAGGACCAATAGCACAAAAAACTAATATTTCACTTACTCCACCTCCTCCCAATATGGTTACAGAACCAAATTTCAACCTGACATGATGGCCATCGGCCAAGATAAAACCCAAAAAGATCCAACTCAGCAGCATTGGATACAAAAACCAGGTCACAAACACAATTAATGATATAATTGATACTCTTTTAAAAAACATAACTATCGAAAAACGAAAACAAAAATGTCACTCATAGCCGACACCATAGTCACCCCTCGTGACTAAAACTCAGTCGAACAGAACCTCACATAAAGTCAGAAAAGAAAATCGGATTTCCTACCGATCTTACTTCTCCCGTTATAGTGTGGTTCAGCGTCCCATCCGTAGGATTGGCAGAGTTGGATTCCAACGAAAACGAAGTAGCCAAGTATGATGACGGACGTCGGAAATTTACCAAAGCTGCAACACCTCCACCCATGGAATCGCATTCAGCACAGATATCCCTCCGCATTAAGGAAACTCATATTGAGTGTATATTAACTCGTGTGGTTTTCTTTTTTCGAAAATTAAGACTTCATTGTGAAAAATTTGTTATACATTTAATGTTAAATGTTGCCCATCGAAAGCTACGATGTTTTCCCATCTTTCTGGCAGTTTGTGAATCCCATCCGAAAAGAGCTTCTCCGACATAGAGGTCAAGAAAGAATCGAGCCAATGATGGCATTTGATCGTTTGACCCAATTTTAATAGCTAATAATAGAACAGATCCTTGTGGTCCTACAAATTACAAAATGCACTTTTATTAAATTCATTGTACATTTCGTGTAACATTTATTTCTTAAATTATTTTATATAACTTTTTTACATGATATTTTTAAATTTAACTCAAGTCAATCGAATTATACGGAACTCTTTAACTTCTCAAATTAAACTGAACTCTTCAACTTCTCAAATTAAAGTGAACTCTTCAACTAATGTTCCCTTATCCGTTATTTTATGTCCGTCACCCAATCTTCGTCCAGTTAGTGTTGCTGTCAATATCGTTCAGGGATGCAATTATTAGGATCCCACATCCGGCCATCCTGAACTGTCACTGAACTGCCTCGGATGACTAGGTCCATGGTTTCATATATTCTGCTACAGTAATCGTACGATGTGGACCTTCATAGTCGCCAACCTTTTCTACTTCATATCGGCCGTGTCCTATTTTCTTAAATATTTTATAAGGTCCTAAGTATTTTGCCCTCAACTTCATACCCGTCCCATACTGCGTTCGCTTAATGGCTGCTATCGCATTTAACTCATAATCTTTTCCTGGTTTACGCTTAAGATTAAACGTCTTTCGATTTTCTTCTTGAATTGTCTCTATAGTTCGTTTGGCTTCTGCTCGAGTTTCATCACGTATTTTATCTAATTCCGCGATTTCCTCTTCATCTAGAACCTCACGCATATTATCTAACTGTGCTAAGCGCATTTCTATACCTGTAAGTATTTTAAATGGGGATACTTTAGTGCTTCTCGGCGGAGTGTTGTTAAGTATCTGTTGTACCTTAGCAACATGTTAGTACCAATTATTTGGATTACCTTGGCTAAATTTTGCAATCATGGGGACAATAATCTTATGAAATCTTTCCACTTTGCCATCTCCCCGCGGTACCCCGGAAAGTTACAATATTGCTTGAAAAGCACTGACGTAAATGCTGACCCACGATCTGATATTATTCTTTTTGTATTGCCGAATATTGCAGCTTGTTGCTTAAGCTTATCAACTACAGTGTCTGCACCCGTATTTCTCGTTGGATAAAGCCAAACAAACTTGGAAAACCCGTCTATTACTACAAATATGTAGTTATATTGCTTTGAAGTGGATTCCATTGGGCCAACATGATCCACGTGATAAGTCCCTAATGGCTTACTATCCTTGTGTATTGCACACAAAAAATCTTCTTTTTTCCCATTCTTACTTGCAATTACAATACACTCCACAAAACTTCTGACAAAGTTTTCTACCTTCGAACGTAGCTGTGGAATAAAAAATGTTTTTTGGACAGCCTCGATCGTTTTCCCTATTGAAAAATGTCCTTGTCTATGGGCCGCTCGTATGATTTCTTCTTCCATCAATGTCGAAGCCACGATTAACTCCTTAACGGGATCTTTAAAAAGCCATTCTCTATTGATGTAAAAGTCTTCATATTGTACTGACTCTAGTGCTGACTCTGACCGCCTTTATCCAGTCGTCCGTAAGCTGAGCTTGCTTAAGTCGATGACTCAATGTGTCTTCCAACATTAGACAAGAAATTCGGCTAAGTGTATCTACATGTTTCATTTTACTTCCGCTACGATGCTCAATACTGCAATCATAATCCTGCAGAAATAATGCCCAACGAGAGGCCCTTGGCGGAACCTCCCTTTTGCGTAATGTTAATGCAAACGCTTGCATTCAGTTATGATCTTAAATTTGATCCCCAATAAATAAATTCTCCACTTCTTAATAGCCTCTACTACCGCTAACGCCTCTAACTCGTAGGAGGGAAACAACTCTTCATTTGGTTTAGTTCTTCTATTCATACACTGAATAGGATGAAGTTCTTAGTCGTCAACGTTTTTCTGCAGAAGTACAGCTCCATATCCAAACTTACACGCATCGGTGTGCACTTCTGTGACCGCCTTTGGATTGTATAAATTTAGTACAGGGGCACTTACCAGAGCCCTCTTTAATTGCTGCAAGGATGCCAACTGCTGTTCCTGCAATACAATTCGTTTATCCTTGCGTAAAAGGTCCGACAGCGGTTTAGCTACTACTGCATACCCTTCAACAAATCTTCTAAAGTAGGATGTGAGACCAAGAAATCGTTGTAAGGATTTCTTGTCCGTTGTAACTGGAAAGTTCTTTACTGCGTGGAAAAGACTTAATCGTACCATTTTCTATTACGTAGCCCAAAAAAGTAACTTTCCGTCGCAAAAACTGACATTTGCTCCACTTTATGCGTAAATTGTTCTTTGCAGCCACTTCTAATACATGCTCCAGCTTTTCTATCCCTTCTGTCTCATCATTAGCAGGAATTATTAGATCGTCCATATACGTAATTACATCACCATCAGTAATCAGTTCTCTAATACTACGGCTATAAATCTTGTAAACACGGCAGGGGAAATTCCAAAAGGTACGAATAAAAATTCATATTGACCGTTGTGAGTGACGAAAGATGTATATTTCCGATAATCTGGCGCCACGAAAACATGAAAGAAACCATTTTTTAGATCCAGAGTTGTAAACACCTTTGCGCTTTAAAGCCTATCAAGCACGTCGTCGATAACAGGCATTGAAAAATTATCCATAACATTTTTTTCATTCAGACGGCGATAATCGCAGCACAATCTTTTGCTTCCATCTTTTTTAGAGACTAACACTACTGGAGACGAGTACTCTGAAACACTAGGTTGAATTATTCCTTCACGTAACCATTCAGTAACTTGCTCCTCAATAAACTTTTTATCTGTCAATGATACTCTTCTTGGACGCTCATATACTGGTTGCTCATCAGTTAACAGAATTTTCATCTCTACTGGAGACTTTGCCCCTTAATTGGATTATAATCATCCACAACATGAGTAACTCTGGCTGCCAAATTATGATTTAGATGTGATAACTTTATTTCCTGTTTTCTTCCTACTTCTGTTCCAGCCATCATACAAATATCCTTAAATTCTTCTATTTATTTTCTTTTTATTATCTGGTATGGAAGTTTCAGCTGAAGTCAACTCTTTATCTTTACGACGAAACTGTACGTCGCCCTTAGTTACAAACAAGTCAATCTCTTTCAACACACAAATACCAATTACTGCGGCAAAACGAATATCTTTTTCGGGTGTTACATGAAAAGTTATCTCTATTTCTATATTGTCTACGTATATATTATGCGAAAAGCTACCAAGCGTAGTAAGCTCGCTTTTTCCAATACCAACTAACTGTCGCTTATCTTTGTTTAACTCTATATTTCCTATCATGTGTAAGGTATCGCTTCTTATAAGGCATACTTCACAACCTGTATCGATAAGACTCAGAAATATATAACCATTGAGTGCAATATCTTTAAAGACTAGATTGTTTCCTATACCCGACCATTGCATCTTTTTGTTACGCATTGCGTTCATATAGCTTTTTTTTCACTTTAATGAGTGGGTTTCCTCTTCAACATTGGGCAGCGCGGTGTCCTAATTGGTTACATTTAAAACATCTTAAATGTTGTGGGCAATTTCTTGCCAAATGAGAAGATTCACCGCAAGTAAAACTTTTTTTGGGTACCGCTGTTTCGCTGGATAAGACTGTAGTTGCTTTTGTTCCTACATTCGTTCCCGTGGTTGGCTTCCTGAGCTGGGCTGGTACCCCAAACTCATCAAGAAGTGCGCTTTTAAGTACTTCCCAGCTTATAATACTGAGCTGGCTTCGAATAAAAATCTTTGCAGCACCTTTGAGCAACTGCTTAGAATAAATAAATTTCTGTAGATTATTCCAGTTTACAGCCCTAAATTTTCTAACCAATTTTCCACAGTCGGCTGACCACTCCCAGTAAATGAAACAAGAGAATCTTCTACCCTAGCGTGAATATAGCTCTTGGTTCATTTACTGTATTTTGAATAATTCTTGAGCTTCATCATAGACCGAATCATCGTCGACGTCAACAGTTAACCCTAAGTGTTCCAATAATCTATTTTGTAGGTCATTTTTAAGTCCAACAGTATGAAGTCCTAACTTAGCTAACTGTTGCTCTATCCATTTTAATAATATCCTTAATTATTTGAAATACAATAAATTACAAGCAATCACTAAAATTAAGTTCACAAATTAATTAAGAATTATAAAATATTTTCAAATTCTTTCCAAAAATTTTTACAGAAGACTACTACCACTTAGCTTTATAAAACTGTATTCAAGATGAATTAATGATCCGCAATGTGTTGCACTTCTCCGATGCTCATTTGCTGTTTGTCTCGTCTGCTTACTACTCCGTCGTGCAAAGTACCACCATCTTAACAGGACAGAATTCACTCAATACTTTTTCACCACTTTGCTGCTACTGTTACTGCACTGCCTTCTTGGCAGAAAGTTGTCACCGCTTGCCCATAGCGTTAGTGACGGTTGTTCCGCAGAAACCAACGAAGTTTTGATTTTTTCCGTAAAACCGGCTCGGCTCATTTTTCGTTGCTATACAAGGTTGCCAGTATAGCCTTTCTGAAAGTAACATTAAATAATCGAAGATAATGCGTAGTTTTGTTCAAAAGAAATGAAATATAAACGCGTAACTAATTATTTGTTACCATATAGATCATGTATATTTGCCTTGTGTTTATGTACAAGCATATAAATTATGAAATTCGTAGACGCGCGTTGGGTGATAACACACGATCTTCAACTCATACAATACTATTTGTCTGTGATGCTACTGCATCTTTCTCTCATTGTCGTCTTCGCTTCGTGTTTCCTTTGTTACTTCGCCGCGTAATTTACATACATATCTACACGACTAATCGTTGTATTTTTCTAACCACACTTTTGGTCTCTTCCCTCGGAGCGCTCGCTGCCTTTCTTATGATTCGCTTTTCTTCTTTTTTTTTACATAACTGTTCGTATTATAGTTAGAATTTTCCGTAGTTCACGCGGAGCGCTAGGGCTTCTCTGACCTTCTTATGAATTTCGCGCTGCTTTTCAATTTATATGTACGGTACAAATTTATACATACATATACTATGTCTTTACAAAGTACTTTTATGCGTTTTTAATCACTTCTGACACCATTTATAGGGTTCGCAGTCAAATACAAATTACAAAATGCACTTTTATTAAATTCATTGTACATTTCGTTTAACATTTATTTCTTAAATTATTTTATATAACTTTTTTACAGGTTATTTTTAGATTTAACTCAAGTCAATCGAATTAAACGAAACTCTTTAACTTCTCAAATTAAACTGAACTCATCAATTTCTCAAATTCAACTGAACTGTTCAACTTCTCAAATTAAACTGAACTCTTCAACTAATGTTCCCTTATCCGTTATTTTATGTCCGTCACCCAAGCTTCGTCCAGTGAGTGTTGCTGTCAATATCGTTCAAGGATGCAATTATTAGGATCCCACATACATAACATAGCCCTCATCGCCAGTGACGATCCGATGCAAAAATCACTTCTTTTGGTGACGTTGAAGCAACTTTTCCGACATGCAGAATCGACGTTCCACGTCTCTTGGCTTTAATTCATAAGGCACCCAGTTTCCAAGCTTCTGGATGAATGTTAATTATTCTAATCGTCTGGAAACGGTCGCTTGATCAACTCCTAATACTTTTGCTAGTTATTCTTGCGTCTGGTATGCATCTGCATCGAACAATGTCTCCAATTCTTCGTCTTGAATTTTTGTTTGCTGTCCGGGTCGTTCTTCGTCGTCTATGTCGAAATTGCCTCTTTTAAACTGTGCAAACCACTTTTGGCACGTTCCTTCGACTAAACCATGGTCACCATAAACGTTCAATAAAATACGATGGCTTTCGGCAGCACTTTTCTTCATGTTAACGGAATAAAGAAGAACTTCCCGTAACAGCATTTTATCTGCAACAAAAATGACTGAAGCAAATTTTCGATCACATCCCATATCCTCAAGAAGAGTAACAATAACCTATCACTCGTATCCACAGCCCACAACTTAATCATTCCAGGTTCAGAAAGTAGTGACAACCGAATATTGTTCACTTCGGTGGATAACTGCAGTATGGATAGCCATTCGAATTGTGACTAAAAATCTTATCAAATGGAAATAAAAACTCCTCTTCCAATTAAACGCAAAAATGTTATGTTAATTGATACAATATTAAATGCTACTTTCTTTTCCTTTGCATTTGTTAATGATGGAGTGTTTCACATAATTTTTACGCGAGTGAGTAATCCCGGTGTTCAGAAAGAAGAATCTTGTCTCAAATAGTTACTGTTGTCAGTATCCAAACGCTGCTACTTGGTATTCACTATGAAGCACTGCGTCACTAGTCCCACAAAAAGGTACCAAATTTGAGATCAGACATTCAGCAGATCACAAAAATCAAAACAAGCAATTTATTTACTGTGTTGTCATTTTTGTTGTATAAAATAAAACAATGGAAGACGAAATCGCAGCCTTTTTAATAAGCATCACAGTAAATAAGGAAAGAAACCATTTGTTTTATTAAAAACATCCGCAGAAAAAATTTGGCTGGTGTTAGGACTTCGGAAAATCCATTTTCCTTGGAAGAGCACGTTTACAGGAATTTTCTCCAGCTGTCAAAATCAGTATGATGGGACTTTGTTTAATAATTTAAGCCACATGAAAATTGTTCCAGGCAAAATCGAGATCCGTTTGAGCTGCGCGTCGGTTAAATTCTAAAAATATTTTACAAAAGCGTGGCAATAGTGACGTAAGTGACGATATAAAAGTTCCAGAAGAATCCCGATTATGAGCAACATTTTAATAGCTCTTTCTTAAGGAATGACTACAATGTAAGCAAACAAACTAGAGAACAATGTTTACCAGAATTTACAGATTTCAATTAACTATTCTATTTAATCATTACATACTGTTGTGAAAATGCGAAGCGAATATCAGATGAAAGAGAGAAGCCGATAATTAGTATATTCTAAACGAGAACCTTCGATAGCGAACAACTCGATTATTCTACGCTTCCGTCAGCGAGTAGCCGACTGTTATATAAGGGCGACACTCAGCTGCCAAGAAGTTAGTTACAAAATGAACTCGTTTGCGTTAACATAGAGTATAGCGGAGTAAACGCGTTGGAAATTACATTTAAGTAAAGTAAATTGTGAAAGTTGTTGTTAGTGATTGTAAACAGTAAAGTGCATTGTAATTGAATTGTGAATTACTGAGAAAATAAAAAACCTT